TGCAGGGGGAAACGCCGGAGGACCTGGCTACGTTACCCGCCAAGTCAGCAGCGAGGTGGGCAGGAGTGAGGACTGAGTGACCGACCGACACCAGAAGCCCAGAAAGAGTGTACCAGGCGCCTCCAGCCGGGGCTGGACAAGGTAACAGGCTGCGGGGCTCGACAGAAGAGGCGACTGGGCTGTTAGCCGCTCCGCGCGGCTCCCGCGGCTGCGCTAATCCAGCGGGCTCCCGGCGCGGGCGCGTCGCCATGGAAACACAGACGCAGGGCCTTCTGGGACGGAACGGCTGGCGGGGCGCGCACATGCGCACTCGGGGCTGCGTGCCGGGGCCGGGCGGTGCCTCTCTGGCCCGGAGGTTAGTCTGGCCGCATCTCCTCTCGATGTGGGGAAAATGAGTTACTGCTTTAGACCGTCAGCAGCCGAGCCTCCCGCCGCCCTCCTTGGCACCCAAGACCCTGCCTTAGCCCCTGGCCGCGCCGGGAGCGAACGAGCGAGCCGTTCGTTCACGCGCCGGTGTTCTGAGCCTGGGCCGAGCACTCTCCTCAGACTCTGCCGACGTTGGGTGGCTTAAGTTATGCCCGCCCGTAGGCTGCGGCAGGCAGGTGTAGAGTCCCGGGACGTGGGTGGCCGAGTGTCCCTGTTAACCTCTTTTCATAAAGACGGTTTTTGTTGTTGTAACAATCTGATCACAAAACAATGCATGTTTGGTGTAGAGAATTGAGAAATGTACAGGCAAGTACAAAGAAAAAGTAAAAATCACCTAGGTGATTGAATTGTCAGTGCATTTTTTTTTAATTTTTTTTTTAATTTCAGCATATTATGGGGGTACAGATGTTTAGGTTACGTGTGTTGCCCTTGGTTACCCCCCCCAAGTCCGTGTTTCAAATATGTCCATCCTTCGGGTAGTGCGCATTGCACTCCTTGAATTGTCAGTGCTTTTTAATGACTGCATAGGAATGTGGCATAATTTATGAACATTTTAATTGTTTCTTTTTCCTTTTTTTTTTTTTTTGTGTGTGGCATTGTATCAGTGCCATGGGGAATATTGTTGCAGATGAATCTTTGAGGACATCCCAGACTCTTTCCTTAGGATAAATTCCTGCGGGTGAAGTGGCAGAGTCAAAGCATATGCCCACTTTGAGGGTTCCTGAAGGTAGATGGAAATTGCCTTCCAGGCAAGTGTTTCCAATTCTTGGCCCGATTTGGAGATTATCTTTTACTTTAATTTTTTTTTTTTGGCCTATTTTATTGTCAAAAAATTGACATCTTTAATTGTACTCACTTCTTTGTAAGAGGGATAGACATATTTTCTTCTCTTTAGTGGCATTTGTCCTTGTTTTGTGGTTTGCCTTTTCCCACCTTTTGCCCATTTTTAAACTTGGTATTCATCTTTGTATTAATAAAAACTGATCTGTAAGAACTTATGATGTATGAAAACCTGGTTTGTGATATATGTTGCAAATATTTCCTCAGTTTGTCAGTTACCTTTGATTTTGTTTACAATTTATTTTGGTATTTATGTAGAGTAAGATTTATCACATTTTCCCTTTATAGGTTCCACATTTGGTTTTTATGTAAGAGGAGCAGTGTACATTCTTCAAACAGATTCTGTTTAATTCTCCTTTGGTTGAGCTGGGTTGGGACAAGCTTTCTGTCCATCATCCTTCCTCCATCCTTCCTTAGAGTGCCCACCCTCGATTTTGGTGGGCCATGCATTTCTAGAACCTTAGGTGAGGTATTATCCATGTAAGATGGGTGCCGGTTGTGTTTGGTGGTGATGGTGGGCTGCGCGGCATCTCCAGTGGGGCAGACATTAGACAAGTGTCACCCTAGACCTGACATTCCTGGAAAGATGAGCTGATCTTGATGGCTGGTGGTGCTCACATGACAGTAACAACAGTGACAGTTTGTCGTTAAGGGAAATCTCAACCCTGGTGCTCAGGAGGAACTGAAAAGTGGAGGTTCCTCAGCACTTTTTGCATCTGAACAGTCTCCTCTTTTTCTACCAGCTTTTCCCAGTGTCTGCAGGCATGATAAATATGAATATGCTTCAAAATGAATGGTCTTTGCTTCTACTTTTGAAGGGGGTGTTCTTCCGTATCTGTGCATATATGGAAGAGGAAGCGGCCCTTGAGGTACACAGGTAAAGCAATGGCGTTTTTGTTATGGTGGTCATCTTCATCACGCTGTGTAGTAAACATATACCTTTATTTTTCAGTTTCCTAGGGATGCTGCAACAAATTACGGCAAACTTGGTGGCTTAGAGCAGTAGAACTTTATACTCTCACAATTCTGGAGGTCAGAAGTATGAAATTAAGGTGTCTGCAATTCTGTCCTCCCTCTGAAGGCCCTAACAGAGAATTCTTTGACTCTTCCAGGTTCTGATGTTTCTTGGCACCACTCCCATCTCTGCCTCCATCTTCACATGGTATACTTCTCTGTGTCTCCGTGTGTCTTCTCTTTAAGGATACCAGTCATTGGATTTAGGGGTCACAAGATTGCCAACTAATTACATCTGTAAAAACCCTATTTCCAAATAAGGTCACATGCTGAGGTTTTGGGTGAAGTTGAATTTTGGGGAACATAATTCAACCCACTATAGTTATTATGGTAATCATTCCCATCATTCTGTATAATAAACATATGCCCTTATTTGTCATTTTAGTTTACCCATAAAGTTATGTAAATCAAAACATAACATCTTGTGTCATTTATTATAGGATTATCTGGGGATCTCTGTGAAGTTTGTAGCCAATACCTCATACTTTTATAATCAAAATTAGCCAAATCAAAAAGTGTTATTATTTGACTTACACAGCAAGTACTGGAGCTGTTAAATGATTGGCTGCCTGCATCTTTGCTAGATTACACGGCTTCTTTCTGAAGTGGATTGTGTAAGAGAATTATTAAGCTTTATTTTAAGACTGGTTTTGAATGTTTGGTATTCCTATTATCTTGAAGCTCATTTGTGTCACTGTAATAAATTAAAAGGAATCTTTCAATGAGAGTATTCAAATTTCTAATTTGTACATTTCTGTGGTCATTTTTTAAAAGGATAAACTTGGCCTGGCATAGTGGCTCACACCTGTAATCCTAGCACTCTGGGAGGCTGAGGCGGAAGGATCGCTTGAGCTCAGGAGTTCAAGACCACACTGAGCAAAAGCAATACTCCGTCTCTACAAAAAAAATAAAATAAAATGATAAACTTTAAAAAAACAAACAGTTCATTGTGAAAAAAGGGAGCACTAGAAATTTGAGGTAGCATCTCAGCAGCTTCTCTTATGTGGTGTGGAGGGAAAGGGGTCGGGTCCAAGTCTCAGCTATGCTATTTCCTGTTCCCGTCATGTCCAGTTCTATGTCCTCACTGTGAGTAGGGATGGTATGCAATCCAGTTTTAGGGTGCTTGTACAGATCAAGGAGTGGTTTATGCAAAGCACCTGGAGCAGACCTGGCACATGCACAACACCTAAAAATTGTTAGCTGTTATTTCAGTAGGAAATTGGTTTCTTCCAGGCTTGCAGATGGAGGGGGTGTCATTACTGAAGGAAGTTTTCAGCCTATCTGATCATGGGATGTATATTCTCTAGTGTACACGAGAATCCAGCTATAGTTTATGTTACTAACTTACAAAGCCATTAGGAAATTTGCCTGGCTTATTACTTTTTCAATAATATTTGGAGAAAAATAGCATGCTTACATGGCAGACTTTAAGGTGTGACATATATATTTTTTTTTGTATAAAAAATAGTACATACTATAGAAAATTTGAAAATACAGAAAATAATAAAAGTTAAATGATCTGTAATTTTTGGTGGGCTTTAAAATAAAATTTATAATTCTAGTGACTTAAATTTGTTTAATCATCTTAAACAAGGACCTAACTTTTGCAGTAATGTTGCATGTTGAATCCAAAAGTTAAATTTTGGTAGTCAGTTATTCATCATGATGTAAACGAATCTGATCTGAAGTCTGGGGCCTGGGGTGTACTTTCTCATCACAGGCACCTACCTGGGGAGGAGAGGAGGAAAACAGGCCTCTGGGACTCCGGTTAAGGGGGTGGGTGCAGAAGCCGGAGAGATCTCTCGCTGGTCCAGGAAAGCAGTGTCATCTCCATGATGAGTAGCAACGGACTTTAAAGAGAGAGAAAGAGCGGCTGAGAGACTCAGTTATCTAAGAGTACTAAACGTCCGCCAGGTGCTTCTTGAAAGACTAGGCCTTTAATGGCCTTGGTCTTGACTTTGAAACCCATCAGAAGAGTTTGGGCAGCTAGCATTTGGGCTTCTTTATTAAATTTGCATTCCTTCTAACTTTTAACACAATTCAAATTAGCTATATAAATAAGACAGGATTGAACCAGGCATAAACAGGTCATTCCCCCCCGCCCAGAAATCTTTAAAACAGGACAGTTCGCTTGTTGCAGTCATCAGTACTGAAAAGCCAGCCGCTATTTCCCTGCCTTGCTTGGGATGTCAGTGAAACCTTACATGGCCCATGGCTGGTCAGTTTTTGTTCTTTAGGAGAAACAGGTGGTAAAAAGAAAACTGGAAACAGGCCAACTCATAAAGGAATTTCTATTGTATGACAGTTTACTGAATTTTTTTTTTAACCTGCCAGAAAATTTTAAAACAAGGAAGTTGCTCTTTATTTAAAGGCGTCTGGGGCTATTCTGACCCTTTCAGTTTGTTTGCCAAAAGCCCTGCAAGCCCAGCCTCACCCTGGACTGAGGTGGTGTTTTCTGGGCGTTTCCAGCTCCAAAGGGCTCCTCCCTCCCTCCTTTTCGCCTCCTTCTCCTCTGTTACCCTGGGCCCCACCTCCTTACGCCCCAAGGCGTCTCTGCTCCAGGCTCTGATTGGTGCACGGCTCAGCCTGGCCTTTTAGGGACTGTTGTCGGGCATTTAAAGTGATAGGGAAAGGGTCCAGTGGCTGCTTTTATCAACCAATGAAATATTTTCCTGACAGATCCCAAAATATTCCTGGGCCAATGGAGGGGGAAGCCCAAGATGCCTCTATTGCTCCTGGGAGAGGCAGAGCCTCTTAAGTTGGAGCAGGCGGGCAGGAGCTCAGTGGGGACCTGGGCTGCTGCCAGCTCCGACCTGGCACTTACTGGCCCGCGTCACTGTCAGGATTTGTCTAGCGACGCGTTCCCTAACGGGGGTGTGTTGGGGGGAGTCCTCTTTCCGACTTGCAAAATGGTTATCAAAGTGTTTGTTGCTACATCTTCTGGGTCCATAGCGGTAGGTGTCTGGTGGCCTCTGCGGGGCTTTCTTCCTAGACTATATTCTGAATAACTAACTCAGGGTTGGAAGCAGGAGCTGGCATGGCCAGTCGTTGGCCTTAAATATCTTTTTTTGTGTGAAAGTCACCTGTGGCTCTGCAGTAAGCGTGTGCGCCCTTTGCCTTCCGCATTTGTTTTCATGATGTTGAAAAAGCATGTAAAGTGTGTAATCCGGATAGCTGGGTGTGAGGGGGGATTTGAGGACAGAGGCGTGCTTGATGCTGGAGTTCTTAACACATGATTTGGTTGCATTGCATTGATATAGAATCTCAGACTTTTTTATTTTTTGGAGTGTTTCTGAACTTAAACTAATCTAAAGTTGCAAATAAATGACACTTTGTGTAACATTGCTTGGAGCGGATGATGAACCAGACTGCTAAAACGACTCCTGGATGTAATCACTTGTATATGCGATGTAACCATACCGAAAGTGTAAAGTTAGCATGTGTAATACTATTATATGGGGAAAATGATGTCACAGTGACCAAAGCGAACATTTCTACGGCAACAGTTATAAATGTTCCAGGCGTTCAAACAGCCTGAAAATAGGAGCTAAGAGCTGAGCTCCTTAGTATTGCTTTGTCTGATTTCCTTGAGAACATCCACCTCTTCAGTTCTGGCCTTCATTCTGTGCAGGTTAGAACTGCCTGAAGAAATAGGAGTAACAGAGTGACTCATTTCTCCTTGGAGATGGTTCAGGGTTTGATTTTAGACTTGAACCTGTAGTGTCTGTCTGGGGCTGATATTTTGACCAGCATTTTAGCAGAAGTTAGGAAATCTGTGGAGAGAAAACAGCTTTTTTAATCCCAAGGTTTGGAGACCAGAGAGGGGGCTGTTTCCTTTTATATCTGGTTCCTGGAGGATCTCAGGTTGCAGCTCTGATTTCAGCAGTCACTTAGCCAGAGATGATACCCTAAGCCAGCCACTGGCTGGGGGAACAGCCCCAAAGGCAGCCACTCCCAGCCCTGAAAGTTCACGCAGTTTCTAGAGAGGGTGAGAAGAAAACAAGACAAAATAGCTTGGTCGTCCCTTCTGAGCGCAGCTGATCAGCGAAGGTTTTAGTGCTCTCTAGAACAGCATGGCAGAAAAAGATGCGTACCAATTGCAAATGTAAAACTCTCCCAAATCTTTTGTGGCTGTTGATGACTGCAGAAACTATCAGTTAATATATATTGAGTACATTTTTGGATTATTTAGATAAAAAATAATTTTTGGACGAAAATAGCTTTGATAGGCTTTGTGTATGTTGTTGACGCTCGTTGCGGAGAACTTTTGTGGCTTACCTCTGTATTCTGTAGCCTTGGTCTGCGTGGCCCTATGTATTCTTCAGAAGACAATGAATACATTTATGGATTTCTTAGGTTTATTTGTTGTCCTACCTTCTTGAAGTTTGGGAGCATAATTGAGTTAGCCTTGGAGGACCTGGAGAGAAGCCATTCATTCCAGGATCTTGGAAAAGCCAAGTTACTTCTAGTTCCCTAAGCAAATGTTTCAGTGCTGCTCATAACAGTGTGACCTTGGGAAAGGTATTTCACCTTGTTAAGCCTCAATTTCCTTGTCTGTAAAATGAGGATAAGAATAGTACCCACCTCAGAGTGTTGTCATGAGGGCTTATGAAACAACATGCTCGGGTGCCCGGCATGGTGTCAGGTGTTTATAAGAGCTCAAGAAATATTATTAGTTATAGTTAATGTTATAATTACCAGCTACCATTACTTAATATTAGTTACTCCTATAATTTTATAATTATTGTTATTGTTAATTTAATTAGCATTGCAGTTGTTACAATTATTATATTACTATAAGTATTAGCTAATATTATTTAGTAAATCTGGGTCTATGATCATTATATGTCCGAAGAATTGTCCAAAACCATATAAATGGAAAAAAATTTCTGTCTTATCCTAAAGAGTGAGAGCTGACTCTTCCCATGGTGCTGGTGCTAATGACATTCTGTGTGCGGGGGAATTTCACCCAAAAGCTTCTCGGCAGGAAGAACCCCAGCAGCTTCTCTCACTCTTGCTGCATGTGTGGTGGTCGGACTACAAAGCCTTTCCTAATTATTTCTTAAGGTTACATATTTTAAAAATGGACTCCTGTCTGACACCTAATCAAGGAGGGCATTCTGATATCTGTTGCATGAATGGAATGAATAAAAAAGGAAAAACAAATTTTAATCTCTTTCCGAGGAATTAAATACATGCAGCTGTGTATTATAGCTCTCTCTCTCTCTCTCTTTTTTTTTAATATTCCTTTTTTTTTTTTGAGACAGAGTCTCACTCTGTTGCCTGGGCTAGAGTGCCGTGGCGTCAGCCTAGCTCACAGCAACCTCAAACTCCTGGGCTCAAGCGATCCTCCTGCCTCAGCCTCCCTGGTAGCTGGAGCTACAGACGTGTGCCACCGTGCCTGGCTAATTTTTTCTATATGTTTTTAGTTGTCCAGCTAATTTCTTTATATTTTTTTAGTAGAGATGGGGTCTGGCTCTTGCTCAGGCTGGTCTCCAACTCCTGAGCTCCAACAATCCACCCTCCTCGGCCTCCCATAGGATTACATGTGTGAGCCACCGCGCCCGGCCTATAGCTCTATATTAACAGTTGACTCTAAAGAGTTGTGACACATTTTTATTACATTCCAGAGGGGGTTGGGGTTGAGACCCTGGGGAGCAGGAGAAGGCGTATGACTTCCCGTACCACCCTCTTCTCTTTCACAAGATCACTGCCACAGCGGGGGTAGGCGTCGAGCAAAGGGAGAGAGGACAGTCCCTGCTGCCTCCAAGTTGCACAGCCTCCGAAACTGCGAAAATACGATCTTTAAGGACGGTCCTTCATGGTGTCTCCTAAGTTTCTCAGTTTCTCAGTCCTTTCTCTGTCTTAATTGACAGTGCAAATATGGTAGGAAAAATAGGACTGTTGAATTAGATTGATCTGGTTATAAATCTTGGAAAATCCATTAATCCATTGGAGCCTCAGTGTTATTTTAAAACAGTGATCAGAAAACCCACCTGGATGGCCAGTTGACGACGCGATGGGATAATGGTGTGCTGGGTATCTGACAGTGCAGGTTCTTACCCTATGGTACAAAATGCTTTTCCGTGCATCATCATCTTCAGTTCTCACCAAAACCGCATAAGGACGGCGGTGTTGTATCCATTTTGCAGATGAGGAAATTGAAGATCAGAGCTCTTGCTCAGATAGCACCCTTCTAGGACGGAAACACAGGTCGTCTCTGACTCAAATCCAGTATGCTTTTTATTACAGTAGAGTGACCTCAGCTGGAAAGGCTCCTAACTGTACGAGACAATAAACGGGAGGTGCCAAGTGGGTGGCATCAAGAGGTGCCGCTGTTGGATTACTCCGACACATTGTAGTAGCTAACAGTGGCTGGGTGACTTCAGGACAGAGAACAACATTTTCCTATAAGTAAATGTAACAGGATAGGAAAATAGAGCCCTCCGAGTCTCTGCTGAGGTCCCAAAGGCTCCAGATAGTGACACAGACCCCAAGTACCCCCAGATCCTACAGAGCCACTGCCCAGGACAGACGAGCAGCCTGTGGGGGCCAGATTGGCCATGGCACCCTGCAGGGCAGAGAAGGGGCAAAGGGAAGGGGTGTGTCTGTGATGAGAACTGTTGGGGTGCTCTGCACACCCCTCCCCTGGGCCATAAAGGCAGGAGTCCTCTAAGAGCTGATGTTGTGTCCTTGGGGCACTTTTTGGGCCCAGAGGGGCTCCTTAATCAGGGACCCCCAAGGGGGAGAGAGGCCCCATGCTGGAGTCAGGGTATTGAGGTGCTACAAAGGCAACAGTTAGCTCACATGCTCCCTTCCCTCGTTCCTCCCCTGGGGTCGACCCGACCCTAACACCTTCAACTGTGGGCTCCCAGCCCAGGCAGAACTCAAGAGCCCCAGATGGCCTGATGAGCAATGCACTCGGCACAGTTTAAGTGACTGGTGTTTGGGGTGGACAAGGGAAAACAGATTTTTTTCTTTCTTTTGGCGATGGGCACTGAGAAATAGCGCTTAACACAATGCCGTGCTTCTAGCAGGCACTTCACTTCCCTGGATGCCATTGCATGATCTTCGCCCCTCAATAAATTTAATTTATTATTTCTCTGTTTTTGCCTTTCTAATAGAAGAAACGTAAGTCGGGACTTTTGGAAATTGTTTCCTATCTATTCAGAAATTGTGGAATAAAATAGAATCCTTTTTCTGCCCCATCTCAGGTCCTAAGGTATGATCGACAGAGATGGAAATAAGGCTGGGGAGGTTGCCCAGGCTGATTCGGGCTCCCCAGAGGGTAACTGGGAAGGGCTTTGGAAGAAGTGCAGACAGGGGTTTGGACAGAATAGAGGAGGTTGCCTTCTGAGCATTCAGAAAGTAAAAGTGCCTAAAATGAAGACATCTCTACTCTTTAAAACAGGAAAGTTATCTTTGGAATGATCTAAGGGAATAAGCTTTTTATAAAATGGCACAAATAATTATGGGCAGGTTGGGAAGGATGTGTAGAGAGTGTGACTAATTATAGTAATGATGTGTCCAGCAACCTGTCATCAGGTCTGATGGGATTTTGTAATATTAAAAAGTTCAACCGTGAAGCTGTGCGATTTGGAGCAGTTTCTCTACGTAGGAGCAGAGGAAGGAGGGCACGTTGGTGGGACATATGCAGCTCTACTTTGGGTTCTCATACGTGTGACACTTGGGAATTGCCAGAGTCCTTATGCCAGAAGTTTAAGGGAAATTCCATCATTCCACACGTGTCTGTATAATTCTTTTTTTCTGGTCCATGCTTGCCCCAAACTGAAATACATATGTTGGCCTGAGTCTTACTGACTATAAATGTTGTGTTGTAGCTAACGGAACTTTTAATTTATTGATCTGATGCTTTTAGACCCATAATCTTTATTATGATATGTGTTAATTAAAATATCAAATGTGTGATTACCATTTATATATGTGTATATGTAATTTTGCTGCTTCTATTACCTTCCACAATTCCCCAATTTTTGATAGTTAGCAATATTCTTAGGAAATG